GTGGGAATTTTTGTCAAGTGCGTGATGTAAATAAAAATATGGAAATGACATGAAATACGAACGATGAGTGTTTGCCGCGAAAATTTCCCCAGGGTTCTCGCCTGTTGGCAAGATTGTGACACCTTCCTAGTTTATTAACTTTATTTGAAAATATGTTTTTTCTAAATAACTCGGCCACTTTTTGAGATTTTTAATGTTTTTCTTTTGGAAACACTAGATAAAATGACGAACTAAAATTTTGTCAAATAAAAGAAAAAACGATTTTTTTGGCCTCTGAAGGTGGGAAGTAACCTTAAAGAGCAACAAGCACGTGATCATTGTCTATCAGCAAAATAATAGGAAACAATGAGAGAACCAATCAGATTTGTGAATTTCCAATAGAACACAGCTTAGTGGCTACCAATATTAATCTTAGATACTGATTCTGTACAAACTGTGCAATCATATTCCTTCAACCCACCAGGCTATCAGAAGCCTTCTTGAGCCTGTTCAGTGTCTCGTCTGAATCTCCAGCCACTAACGCTTCCATGAGAATCTTCTGAGCCACAACTGACCAGCGTCTCTCTTCACTTTTCCCAGCCAGCTTGACTGTAGGCTTGTCATCTTCAATCACTCCTTCCTCTGTTTCATTCACTTCAGGCACTTCTTCCAAACTCTGTTTATACATTACAAGACAACATTAAGAATATAAAAAATCAAAGGTTAAGTATACATGTACATGTATGTAGACATATGGGGTCATAATCTATGATAAGGTTAAGCACATGTAAGTGTAGCCATGGGCCAGTGGTTCACATTGCTGGAGATTACATGCAGTACCACTCTGAGATAAGCGAACCATAAAATGCATTTTAAACTCGTCGACAAAAAGAATTCAACTTGTTGTCCCTTTTCACCAACCCATCAAATTTTGTAAACTCAGTTTTCATCAATACATTTGCCTAAGTTTGTTATTTGTTTTACTTTTACTACATACCAATGCAAATGCCAACATGTTAAAAAGCATTTTAGTTCTAAATATAAATGATTTTAATCAAGTTTAGAACATGTTTGATGGTTCTCTGAGTGGTACTGTAAGAGTATTGCTACATTTATCTTCTTAATGGGGACCTTTTAGTGATACAATGTAGGTTTCTCTTACAGTTAAATTAATGTTAGTACCCATTAGTGTATACCTGGGTGGAGCTAGGGAGTAAAAAACTAGACAAAAACAGTTTACCCTAGCTACAAACATGTATGGTTTAAACCTGTCCCTCTCAAGTGATCTTTCAACTGTTTTATACACTGTACCATTAAGATGTCATTCTTCCCACATATATATAAGCATACATGCACTATAAGTTGAGTTACATCATAATCTTCAAACAAAGTCCATTTAATTAAATGTATTTTACTGTCGAAAAAGTATGTACCTTGAAGTCAACATCTGGACCTTGCTTCCCTGTGACCTGGAAAAATTTATCCCGTGTATGTTCATCTCTTGTGAGCTTGCAAAGATGGGGAGGAAGCTCTACTCTGGAGGGCATGGTGCAGAAGTGATGAATGTTGTGAGTCTTGACTGGCTATGGAAGGAAATGAAACATTGATCAAGAGTTAATTCTTGCTTAACAGCCTACCCTTAATACATGAATCTGTAAGTCAATTAAAACTGCAGTAATGTTGTACATATAATTTCATACATGCATACTGAGTTGTTCTTTTCAATTAGTCTCCTAATACAAGCCTACAATGTACACTTTGTTTCTTCGTCAAGATATTCACTCAATTTACTCATTCAGTTTTGTACATAGTTACCAAAATTAAAAAAAAATGATACACTTCAATATTGTAATATAATGGCTCATAAACCATGATGGCTCCAATGAAAACTCTTGAATTGCATTATCTAATGATCCAGTTTTTAGTAATGTGATATATACCTTCTTCTCTTTTTCTGTTTCCTTTACTTCCCATGAATCCAGAAACATGACACTCGCCTCCCGATCCTGTTTGACATCAATCCACTGTTTGTTTGACTCTTGAAGTGGAAATCCTGTACTGCTTACAGGAGCAGTAGACTGTTTAGAAGCTATCTCCACCTGCTGGCCTTTTATGCTGATGATGTCTTCTGGAACCACTTCCGATGGCAACAAAAGGCACTGTACAGATGTGAGTAACACTGAATTACAAAACTAAAAAGAAATAGTTTCATTCTCTACATGTACATTACAAATCTCTTGTGGGCCTGGTTGCTCAACAGTGGACAACTGATGATTTATGATTAGTGATTTATAATGCTGTGGATGGCTTTATCCAATACTTTGAAAAACTGGGCCATCCAGGTGTTCAGAGAAAGTCAGTTGAGCTGCATTTCTGGTTGTATAATGCATGCATGAGAAATTAACTTCATCTCGTTACAAGTACATAGAAACCTCTCAAATAATCATTCAATTTTAGAGGGGTTTTTTGCGAAAAAAATTTCAGTCCATCACACAGCCTAAATGAAAGAAAGTGTCATTTTTTTAGTTTCGCCATTAACCTCTTTGGAGAAAATAATGGATCCATGCAATTCTATGTGACGAAAGAAAGGAGCTTGCTATCACAATGGGAATTAAAGTTTGTTCTACCTGTATTGTTACATGTAGTTGTAGCATTAAAAATGAACATGCACATGTATGTAAAGCTAAGTACCTCCATAGCCTGTTCATTTGTCATCATGGTCTTTTGACTCGCAAGCCCTTGTCTTGTTGAAAGTGTAACAGACTGAGATGCTGCAAAGAGTGACACAGAAGATTATTAAGACCATACATGTTAATTTCATAATATTATCAGACTGATTAATAGCCAAGTGTAATAAAAGGCACTTTCCATTCCACCAAAAATTCTGGAACTTTTGAAATGGGGGCAAAGAGGAGCCAGCAAAAATTGCCATCGACTTCAAGATCTGTCACCTACTTTGCTTGCTATTCACCTGATTTTTTAGAACTTCACGACAAAAGCAGTCACCTACATGTAAACAAGTGCTAGTGACTGCATTTAACTTTGTGAGAACCCTGAAATGGTATGCAAATCTCTTCAAGAAAAACTTGTTGATGAGAATTGAGGAATTTCTGAGGAGCAGACAGAAAGAAATTTTCAAGAATTAATTTTGGTTATAGCTGTACTCTGTGAGGTCATTCTGTTTTCCAGAAATTCCAGAAAATGCTGGAGATTTTCAGAAATTAAAACTGGAATTTTTGGTCAAAATATGGAAAAACACCCTTGATGAAGCAAATGTTAGAGTACAGGTAGTATTGTTCATGTACCTAAAAGATATCAGATCTCTGTCTAATGGTAGTCTGGCAATTAATTATTTTGAACAAACCTAGCATATCTCTGTCAGTCATTTCACTCTTCCTAGTTTCTGTTCCTTTGCCAGTCTGCGGCAGTTCTTCTGCTGTTTGTGGTTTAACACTGACGTCACCAGAAGCACCCATCTCACTGTTCATTGTAATTGCTTTGTCTTTCTTTGGGCTTGTGTCCAGACTTTCCTTATCACCAACAGAAGCTTTACCTCCTTCATCACTCTGCAATGTAGCCTTTCTAATGACAGCAGGAGTTTTGGACACATAGGGACTAGTGGACATTTGCTTCAGGTCAAGAGGAGACAGCCCACGAAATGCTCCCTGAATAGAGAAGTCTCCACTGCCATGCCCTGCCATAGCCCAAAGTAACAAACTTTCTTTTGATGGAGATAATGCAGCTGCTGCCACCTCTTGTTGCCTCTTAGCTTCGTTCTCAGCTTCCTCAGTTGCTCTGATCAAGTTCAGTATACCTGCCTCAGGCCTGCTGATTCTTTTTGTCAATTCAAGAATCTCAGAGTGGATCCTGTTTATTGGGGAGTCTTCTTCCCCTTCTGTTCCCTCTGTCTTTGCATCTTCCACATCATGTGTAGAAAAAGATGTTTTAACTACACTAACTTCAAAATCTTTTGCAGTATTTTCTTCTTGCTGCACTTCCTTAGTTCCTGCATTAGTATCTTCTTGAACTACTCCACTGCTTTCATATTGAACTGGAATTTCCACATCGTCCAACTCATCACCTATAACAGCATCATCTTGCATATTCATGCCGTCATCGTAACTTTGATTAACTGCTAATCCTTCATCTTCTCCATCCACATCCACTTCATTCTCAGCAAGGTTAAGAATGCCACCATCCTCATCCAATAAAGTGGGTGTGGTTGGGTGGAAGATTTCTTCACTCCTGCAGACATCAAAGTACAATATTGAACAGTTGAATTGCCCATCATGGAGACCACCTTTTGAACAGGGCACAAAGAAAACTGATTTTCAAGCTAGCCCTTTTTGCAAGGTGTCACTGTGATGAACTACACGTACCCAAAAATCTTTCTCACTTGCCCCCCAAACATTTTAGTAATCTGTTAAGTGTACATGTACTTCTGTAAATTATTCGGTTGTCCTAAAAAACTTCACTTGCCAATCAGGCAAGCAAAGGACAAAACCCACAAACCTGAGTGCACAATCTGCTAGCCCTGGGCTATCAGACACAACTTTCTTTGTGCACAGCTTTTAGTAACATGACATGAATTGTTTTTAATTAGTGAAAATAAAATGCATGATTAAGCATATACATGCAGCACTCAAAATCACCACTTTCCTTGAATCTCTTGCATTTAATGCACTGTTGTATATGATCTTCTCAAACTCTCTAATAATTCATCAAGTTAAAACAAAGAAAATCACAACCATGAAGGAAGTTTGGATACCTGGTCTTAATAAGCATATATTTTGACGATTTTACTTCTCTGTTTACTCCTTAGTTTTTGTTTTGATTGAGAAGATATATCAAATACTCGAGACAGTGTTTCATTGGCTATCCAGACACCTTGAATTTCGTCAAAAATACTCCGCCGCGCATTGTATTTTCAACTCTCTTCTCAGTGTTTGGATATCCCGATGAAACACTGTCTCTTGTGTTTGATATATTACTTCAGACATATCCTTTAACTTGAAGAATGGCGTAACCACTTTGCAACAGTGCTTAACAGGGATCCACCTGTAGATCCCCCCAAGCTACAATTAAACCACCAATTATCGATCAA